TATATTCTGACAATTACACGCTGTTATCCCCTTACAGTTCCTACTCTCATAAAATACTCGCAATGCATGTTGACCTTTTAAACCTTCATTTAATTTTCAACAACAGATATTTCAGCACAATGAATGTTTTTGCGTTGATTATTAATTGTCTGTTTTCCGTCTGTCTGACGTGCGCGCACGCGCCCGCCGCGCCGGTGCTCATTCAGTAAAGATTAAAACTTAAAACAGACTGTCAGGACGGACCTTTATGCAAAAATGGAAATGCTCTCGTGAATGTGTGACATTTATACGTAAGGATATGACCGTAAACTGAAGGTTTTTGCGCTGAGGATGCACACGCATCTGTCAAAATGCCTGACAGGGCAGGCCATTACGCTAATGCATTAGCTTAAAGCTTAAAATAAAGAATTCTCATGTTTTGGGCAGCTTGGATCACGTAACTCTCCTGCAGCATCTCATTCTGTTTCCACCACTATTTTTAGATGCATTTTGTCCATAGAAATGCGTAATTCAGTGCTGTAATTTGACGCGACCCTCTGAAGTTGGACGTGCACGGTGGGCAGACCCGACTAATCGATAATGAGAATCGTTGTCGATGATTTTCATAATCGATAATAATCTATTTTATCCATTAGTTGTTGCAGCCCTAAACCAACCCTTAGTGGAATCATCTCCAATAAAAAGACAACATAACCATTCCTGAACTAAAATAATCCAAGAAAAGTTTGTTGCTTCATCAGCAGCTCAGAGATGAGAAATGCTGAGGGAGTCCATCGGGGATGTGGACCAGCGGAACACGGTCCTGTGGTTAATGAGAGCCCGGCTCAGCCTGTTTGTTTCACAGGAATGTGACATGGGTGACCAAATTAGCTGCCTGATCTGCCCGGAGATTACAGTGTTTGTGTGTAAACAGTGAGGCCCACACACAGGCTCAGTGCTAGTGCTGAGTCCCGCCGGACCCTCGACTCCCGACGCTTAGGTTGCTTACTGCAGCAATGCCCAATACCGTCGTGCAATTCATCATTCTGCATTGCAACACGAGGCAGAAGGTTGGAGTCACATCATTGTGCGAGATGGCTGAGGGAGGACATTGTTTTTATTTCCAGTGAGTGGTGAGGACAGTCCAAACTAGTTCAGGGTACTACAGAGTTTCCTGCCATTGTTTTGCTTTGAAAATTCTGTCAGCCCTGTTGTATTTATAGTCTTTTCATCAGTGTGAGGAGTTTCAGGAAATGCTGTTAAATTAGGTCAAGAAAAAAAGGCTCTTCAGAGTATGGATATAAGCAAAGCATAATGCTTTGGCTTGTTTTTTTTTGTGCAAAAATGTGCTTAGGGTTAAGTAGTAGGACTCTAACTTTGTTTTGCATGTTATAGTATTGAAATGTGTCTCTAGTAAAGGTGGTTGCATTACAGCTGTGAATTGAACTGATATTTGAGCACATGGCACACTAGCTCACTTCTAAGAAGCTAAATGGATTTTCGTGAATGTCTTAATTGATTTTTCTCTTCTCTCCTGGGAATCTTCTCATAGCACAGAGTCTGTTTTACCTCTATATAGTCAGAGATACTGTTTCCTTAGTGAACGTTCCTTTCAACCCTGGTTCATTGGTGAAACATGCCCCTAATTTTTTTCAATAATGAACCTGTACATACAATTCACTGCAGTTTCCAGCCGAATGAACACTAGTGGCAGTAAAACACCAACAACTTTTATTCCTTTTCACACAGATTATGATTACAGAGGCAGATTATCAATTAATAAAGACTTATTTTTAATAAGTTTTCTTGCACAATACTATGTTATGAGCTCGAAACACTTTTACCATAGTGCATTTGCAAACTAATACATTTTGATGTTTGCATCACATAACCAACTCCATATTTTTGGCTTTTCTGAGGTAGTAAACTTGCTCGGTAGCGCACCTGGTAAAGCACTGCACTTGTGATGTGAAGTGCTCGGTACGAGTCCGTCAAACACAAGTCACGATAAAAGAGCTTAAAGACTTGTAGAAGCAAGATAAAATGATTGCTTGAGCAAATGTTTTTAACTCATTTGCTTTTGTTAACACTGTCAGTATCGGCTTGGGGTCGGGTTTAGTTATGCTATTTTTAAAATGCGATAGAGCATTAACCTTTTAGCGTATTTCATTTTTGAGAACTGAACACACTTTTAGTGTTGAGAAACATTCAAGATTATTGTACAGAAATGTCATGATAGGCATGTTTTTCCATTGAACCTACATTGGTTCTTTTATGGCTAGTTTTTAGCTATATAAGGGTTTGCTATGTATAGTGTGAACTTCAGTTGAGCTTAAGAAACGCTCAAGTAGAGGTCGACCAATTGATCGGCCGGCCGATTAATTGGCCGATTTTTGGCATTTTTTAGTTAATCGGCATCGGCCGATTGTGCTGCAAATTAGGCCGATTTATAGGCAGGCGCATCTATGGGCAGCTAAGCGTTGTTGCGGAACGCCGGAGAATCTCTCTCTGGCTGCGTGAGAGACAGAGCAGCTCACACTCTGCAGCCGCTTCTTGTTCACACACAGTTTCAGCAAATGATGGCAGGGCAAAACAAACCGTTTCGAAAGCGTAATTACGGTTTACCCTACTAGAATTGATGCCGGAAAGTTATCATATTCATAAGTGCAACAAGTCATTTGCTTGTGAAAGTAGAAACACGTGCAGTTCAGACGAAACTTCTGGGCTGATTGTAACGTGCACGTTAACTTTCCTCGTGAAATGTGTGTGTAGGTCCGACAATAGCATCCACGATGTCATCGCTCGTGGCCAGTGCACTCTTAAGCAGTTGTGAGCAGCAGGCTATATAATATGTGTGAACTCTTTATTTTTGTTATCACTTGGCCATTTGACTTATAGCAGTGTCCAGTGTTTCCCATACAATGAGTTACTTCGTTGAATAAACTGATCACTGCACGTTTCAAAATTAAAATGCAGCGCGGGTGTTTTTATATGAATGTATCTTTAAAAAGAACCGACCATCTTCAGAAAAGCTTTGGTGTCATTTTCATTTCGTCTTTCCTGTAATGCCTGATAAAGTAGCGTTTGTGAGCGCAGTGCTTATTAGAGTACAGCCATTACCGAGGAAACCGCTATATCTCTTCCCGCTCCAACAGCGCCTCCTGCTGGCGTAGAATGAATTTGCATTTGCAAGTCTGTGGGAAACGCTGGTGTCTGTCAGCAAACATAAACAAAAAGCATGCTTCAGAACTGTTTTGAGAAGGTGCTTAAGTTTTGAGCCATGTATTATTACTCTGAATTAGGCTACTACTACTATTAATATCTTGTACCCTGCAATAATCATTTACTCAAACTCACTTTTATGAAATGAAGAAAAAAATAAACAAAGAAAGAAAATCGGCCAAAAAAATCGGCATCATATATCGGCCAATCGGCTGCCCTGATTTCTAAATATCGGCATCGGCCAGTGAAAAACCCATATCGATCGACCTCTATGCTCAAGTGTGCTCATTTCACTCCAGGCTCTGTTGTAATCGTATCCCAGTATGGTTGTAGTTTTTTTAAAACACATGAACTCTCTAAACCCATAACTTGTCAGTTGCATTAAGAGAGTCATCCGGTAAGTAGCCATTCATCTAGCTTCACTAGTGACTCGTATAAACATTATGTGCATGCAGCTGCGGTCTTGAAGCAAAGTATTTTAATTGTCAGACTGAGATGTTCTTAACGTGGAGTCTGCGCTCAGGATTGCGTTTCCCTCCAATATGCCCTTATTAGGAGAAACTGCTGAGGACTGTGGGTGACGGTGCTAAACTCTGAGAACGTTAGCCCCCTAAAACCACATCGAAATGTTAAATATGCTTTGAGATTCTCGTTCCGCTGAGGGCTTTGTCACAACACCTAGAGAAAACTAACTTAACAGAGTAAAGCAGAGTTTGTTTCAGACACAGATTTTACATCGTACATCAAGCGACCCCACATTTATCTTGTTTTTTTTTAGACCTCTGATCATCTGAGATCCGCTGGAGTTCACCGTTTGCTTTAGACAGAAGGGGCTGCCGTTTGCCAGGTGTTGAATATGAAATGCGTCTGTTTTATAGCCCTCAGGTGTTGCTGAGCTGGAAGATTCACATAGGTGTGTTTTAACAGAGGACATGGCACGTCTGGGCACATATGTGCTGTAAAATAAGAGCAGCTACCTGAAAATGGAGCAGCTTTGCTATTGTGCCACTTACGTTTGCAATAAAACAGTTGTTGTGACCCAAAACATTGCTGTCACTCCTAAAAACTTGTCCTTCTGGCTGTTTTTGTGTTTTAATCTGCCCTCATCAACAAATGGGAAACTGTTGAGCTTTGCATCATGGCCTGTTAGTATTTTCTTGTAAATCATTTTCCAATAGCCTTTGTTTTATACAACTTTGAAAAATCATTTTTGACAGTGTAGTTCATATGGCTCATGGGCTGTATTTCAAGTCTCCGAAAGTTAAGCTTTGTGTGAGAAACAAACTGAAACTTAAAATAATGGTTTACCCAACAATGAAAGTGTTGTCACTCCAAATCTGTATGCATCCATGATGTTTTTCTGAATAAAGAACTTTACGCAGCTCTTTCCATACATCGACAGGCTCCAGAAACTACCGTTTTTCGCTGAACTGTCGCTTTAAGATGGACAGTGGTTATAGAGGACCTCATTCACTGATCCTTGTTTTAACTGGAACATAGAGCCATTAAAAATCTTTTATTAAACAAGGAATCTGTTTTCATTCTGTATTTGACTGTAAAATAGTTATTATGCAGTTTGATTCCTTACAATGCAGGACAAACTGGCAAGTGAGCAAGAGAACATTTTTAGTTTTATTACAGTTCTAAAAAAAAGCTGAGCATAGCAAGACAATGAAAGGATATGAGATTTGATGTGTTTTGGAATAAAAACCACAATAACGTGAAATGCATGAATGGCGAGCTTGGCAAACGTAAACTCTTTGTTTCCGATAAGCCATTGATTCACTGCCTATAAACATGTTTACTAAGTCGTTATGATGGATTTGGCCTTGGCCTGGGCCTTTGCTGTAATTCACAGGGCCTGTGACTGTATTTTTATGCGTGGGCCCCTTGTCCCCGCAGGGCAGATGTGTGAGGACCTCAGCGGGACGACATTCCCCCTGATGACAGTCCTGCTTCTAGCTATTTGCTCTTCCTGTTTTTCTTTTCTTTTCTTTTTTTTTTTCATGCATTGCCTCATATTTTCCTCTCTTACCTGAAGAAGTCTAAAAGACTCCCACCCCCAACCCAAGCGAGTCCAAAGACCTAAATTAACTGCTTTCTAACTTTAACACACACAGCTCAAATTATTTGTGCGCTTGTGGCTACTGGCACTTTTACAGGAATTTATGCTACAGTTTTGGGTTTGTTCTTGAATGGCCTTCTGGATAAAATAATATGAAATTAGTAATCCGATACATCTAGGTTTCTATCATGATTTGTGCTGGAACAAAGGGATAATGTGTGCTAAAAGTGATAATGTGGGATAATGTCCCGTGTGTTTTCGGGGCTGTGCACGAAGTGACGTGAGACTCTTTGTTGTTGTGTCTTCTGTTTTTATGCTGCTGGTGTCTCGTTACCCAGATTTCTTTCCCTCTGCAGCACTCACTCTGTAGTGAAACAGAAACACTGCTGCAGTTTATAACTGTGACACACTGTAATTGCCATATTTGGCATTCCCTGGAGTTTACTGGCAGCTTTTAATAAAGCTAGATCACTTAAAATGGCCATAAAAGGAATCAGGAAAAGACGGCACCTGTTTTACATCTCGAGTCTGCAAGAACGTCTGATAACAGCCCGGGCAGAAGTTGCGAGACGGTGGAGTGTGAATCTCTGGATCTTAACACTGAAAGAATCTCAGTCCAGTGCTTTAAAGAAACAGTTCACCCAACAAATTAAGCCATTATATGCTCGTTCTCATATCTCGTTCCAAACCAGTTTGACTTACTGTCTTGTTCAAGCTCCAAAATAGCAAGAAAGGACCACATACACAGGATGCATGCACAGAATTTCAAGTCTTCTGATTTTCAGATAAAAAAAAAAAAAAGTTTTATGACCTCATGTTAATTGAGACTAAATGAGATCATAGTTAACATTCTTAAAAAAAAACAAGTGACACCAGACCAGGGCTCTACAGTGCGACCATTTCAGTCGCATTTGCGACTGAAAACTACTGCGTGCGACTATAAAGCATTTTTTAGGAGCACCAGTGCGACTGACCCGATCATCATCATATTTGTGATTGTGCTCAGGGGAGCTTCAAATGTGTCTACGTGTTTCTGCAGCGTTGAGTAATGTATCACAGACATACCTCATGAATCCTTTCATAAGCAAAGTGAGAGATTCATTGAGTTAGAGGAGTCAAATATCACCTCGTAATGGGAAGGCTACTTTTTGATAACATTACTTTTAATTGTTTAGAAGGTGCTCCTAAAATTTTGAACGTGCTCCTAAATTTTTAAAGTTAGGAGCACAAGTGCTCCTAAAAAGAAAAGAAAGCGTAGAGCCCTGCCAGAGGATCATTTAAAATAAACAAATGTAGTCAGAAAGCTGGTTTTAAAATTGCGAAAACTTCAAAGCGACTTATACATACATAACATATACACTTTTCTTTTTACACTTTATACTCTTTATACACTTTTCTTTGTCCAGTCAAAATTGCAAAATATTACAATTTAAAGTAACCGATTTCTATGTGAATATATATTAAAATGTAATTTATTTCTTAGATCAAAGCTGAATTTTACATGATCCTTCAGAAATCATGAAAATATGCCGATTTGCTGCTCAAGAAACATTTCTGATTATTATCAATGTTGAAAACAGTTGTGCTGCTTCATATTTCTGTGAAACTGTGATACATTTTTATTTTTCAGGATTCAGGTTTTTTTTAAACGTACTAACCCCAAACTTTTGAATGGTTTTGTACACGTTGATCTGTGTGAAGTACCCATGTATCATGAGTCTGTGCAGTCCTGAGCCACTGAGGTCATTGAACAGCACTCTGACAGTGTTCTTATTGTTGATGTGGGACCGTAATGGATCTGCTGTCATTAGACCAGCTGCTGGGGGTCCAATGTGGGTCCAGTACAGCTTTAATGTGTGACGTGACCAGCCTCTCAAAGCACACCAGGGTGACAGGCGTAAATAAAGGCATGTTTCCAGTGACGTGTTTGGCACGGGCTGATGGTGGCAGGCCTGGAGCATCGGAACAATGGCATCAGCACTACAGTAATGATTAAGGCTGGTCCCCGCACTGATTTAATGATATGAGAACTGTATCAGTGACGTACGTGTTTACTCAGAAACTGTTGCTCTAGAACAAGCTACTTCAGCAGAAACGGCAGGAAGTGAGGTTAAATGACAAAGATCACAATATATATTTTACTCATTCCTAGATATATGAAATCTGAGCCATTGCTGTCTCTGTCTGACCAAAATTAATCTGGACTTTTGTCGCCGTTAACTTGTCATCTGTTGTCCCACACAGCCAAGTACACTACCGCAAGGGACGGTCAACATGAACCTGTGCACTGATGTGATCGACGCTGAGGCCAGGACCGGACAGAAGAACGCTCTGTGCATCATCACCCCGGAGCAGGAGTACTACATACGAGGAGACAACAAGGAGATCATCAATGGGTATGTGGCGTGTTCAGGGCGTCAGTCTCCCCACCGATGGGACACGAGATGAGCTTGACCTCTTCTGTCTTTTACCAGGTGGAGTGAACAGCTAGTGGTTTATCCAAGAACCAACAAGCAAAATCAAAAGAAGAAACGCAAAGTGGAACCAGCAACCTCACAGGTACTTTATGACTGCAACCTGTGCTCTGAAATCAGTTTTATTTGTTCCAAATTCCGATTTCTGTGTTCCCAAATTCAAACGGAATTTTTTGTTTTCCCAAATTCCACGATTTCAGTTTTTAAGTTTCTGGACTGTGGTTTTATTGCATTTTAATAATCAAAAATGATGTCTAATCAGTAGAATTCACAAATTTTTATCTGTGCCTGTGTTTTATTATTTAATGCAATATTATTATCAAAAACTATGTAAATCAAATGAATGCATAAACAATTTAATTATTCTTTTAAGATGTTAACAAATTAAATCAATTCCTTTCGGTTTAGCAAAGAAAGGGATGCACAACAGGTTAACTGTTAGGGGGGACCTATTATGCCCCTTTTTACAAGATGTAAAATATGTCTCTGATGTCACCAGAGTGTGTATGTGAAGTTTTAGCTCAAAATACCCCACAGTTCATTTTTTATAGCTTGTTTAAGTTGCAACTTTTAGGGTATGAGCCAAAACGCGCCGTTTTTGTCATTGTCCCTTTAAATGCAAATTAGCTGGTGCTCCCGCCCCCTTTTCAGAAGAGGGCGGAGCTTCAGAGTCTGGCACACCAGCAACAATAACACAATCTCGTGCACTGAAACTGTCAGAAACTCTCAAGCGATCAACTCACATTGCTTTCATATGCATTTTTTAACTACCACATTCCTGTTTACGATCGTTCTGGTAGCACGTGAAGGCAGCATCAGTGATAAGAGGCAGAGACGATGGTAGCTTTAGCAACATTAGCCTTACAGAGTGCCAAGAAGCTCTTTCAGAAAGGCAATTTGAAAACAAAATATGACGCGCTTGCTTTGTCTGGATGACGTTCGAGCACGAAGCGTTGGTATTGATCCCTCTTTCAGAATCAGACATGTAAAATGATTGGCATGAATTTATCCATTTTTTTTTTCCGGGATATTTCCTTCGAAAATGAAACTTAACCACAGTGTCTTTAGCGGCTCAGATGGAGGGAGTCTATGGAGCTCCTATGTTCATTGGTGCATCCCAAAATGCAACACTTGTAATGCCTATTTGGCACTGACATTGTATGTCTACAGTAATGGTGGACTGCTGCTACTCAATCAGGCCTGTGTCTATGCTAATAGGGCAGAGAGCGTCACAAATGGGTGGGACCTTTTCCCTATGGTGACGTGTACCTAGGGAGAAATCTGGAATCGCTTGTTCTGAGAGACTGTTTATGATTTATTGGGATTATAAAAAAATGAGTAGGTGGATTTTTACCATTACAGGCTGGTTGTTTTCACACACTGCAGTCACACAACTGTGTTAAAGTGATTTTTTGCATAATAGGTCCCCTTTGAATTAAAGCATAGACGAACAATTTTGATATTGTGGGATATTCCTTACAAAATGCTGTTTTAATAAATATTATTTCATTATTTCAAATTATTATTTCATTTACGTTTATGCCTTTAGCATAAATGTAAATAACAATATTGTTTTAAATAAAAAAAATCTTTAAATGATTATGATTACATGTACAGCCCTACTTTTGATTTATTCATTTAAAATGTGCCATATTCCGTGACATTCAGCGTTATACAGTAAATTCAGCGATTAGTGAAACAATGGGTGTTATGTGCTTGATTTCAGGAACCAGGCCCAGCAAAGGTAGCGGTGACCGGCTCGGGCATCCCAGAAGCAGAGAAGACTCCCGACTCCAGTTCCATCATATGGCAGGAGGAGCTGCAAAGCAGAGAGGCGGACATGTCCCAGACGTGGTCCTCCAGCGAGATGCCGCCTCTTGGCTCACCACTGCCCTCTGCAGGTGTGGCAGACATTCGGCTGTTGATTTAACACGCTAATTTGGTGCGATTAATTGTGGAAGAAATAATGCTTTAAAATGATTAAGACATTTAACGCGGCTGCCCAGTCCAGACCTGTCCGTCAAATTTCTCAGCCCATCATAAACATAATTTAATTAATTAGATGAATTCAAATACACATTAGTTTGGCTAAAACCCTTCATGAAGTCACTCTTCTCCATTGCACTCTATAGGTGAGGGGTCGATGGTGAGCCGGTGCTCGGATCAGAGCTCAGTGAACGGTGACGAGGTGGACCGAAGCGGGCTCTCCTTCCACTCGGCTGTTTCCCAGCCCTCTCATGACCCCCTGTCGCCCACGGGCAGCTCGTCCAGCCGGCACAGTGCAGAGATGGGGGGCGTCCCGCGCTGCCTGTCTCCTGCTCCTAGCGACCCCTTCCCATCAGGCAGCAGCCTGCTGTCCAACGGTTCCCACATCAGCGGCTCCATGAGTTCTCTGGACTCGGATGCCAGCGGCAGCACCGTCACCAGCACCGACAGCCACCCGGCCGAACCTCTCGGACGCACGCACCGTGCTCTGTCCCGTCGTGGAGACGCAGAAACCCGCAAGCCGGAGAAACGGAGCCGCCTGCGCAGTCCGGAAAGACAAGAGTCTGTGTTCAGCCCGGAGAGAAGGTGAGCGCAGGCCGTTCCCTCACACACTTGCACTCTGCATCTCCTTTTAAGGCATGCTGATTACACTCGGTGTATAACAGGGATAAAACCACATGTGCCTTATTAGGCCAGAAAGTGTTTTGCAACATGCTTTTGTCATGGAATAATGGAGATCATTAGATAGGCGCCCTGCCGTAAACAGTCAGTAAACATCACTGCTTCCCCAATTCTATTTTATTTTTGATATTTTGTTATACTGTCCAAAGGAATAACATAACCCAGATTCTGTGTTTTTCTTTTTAATGGTTTAATTTAATTTTAATAATCGAAAAGCATGTGTCATCTATTGAATTCATACAATTTAATAATTTATTACAATTTTAACAATAACAGGGACCTTTGACATAACACATATAATAACACTTATAATTTTCCCACCCCAGCATTTATAATAAATGTAATTAAATTATATTAAATGATAATAAATATAAATAAATAGCTTAAATTGTGCTGAAAACTGTAATCTAAATAATTAAATAAATTAGTTAAAACTATCCAAGTTACAGTTATCAGTACAATCTCTTATTTAAAAAAACTAAAACAGAAGACCCTCACATCTGGGATTTGCAGGGTTATTTTAGTTAACCAAACCTATAAAAAAATGTAACCGAAATAAAATATAAAAACCATTTACACAATTTAGTTTAACTTGATGTACTAGAATAACTAAAACTGAATTAAAAATGTAGACATAAACCAAAAGTGCTAAAAATAAACAACAAAACTACTAAAATTTTAACAAAAATTAAAATGAAAACGTAAAATATAAATATAAAAACTGATTCAAGCTATTTATAAATCCATTATAGCATCTCACTGACACACTGGGGATTTGTTCAGTCACCATTATCTAGCATTCCACATTATTTTCTTGTTAATAAATTGTAAAAAGAGACATTTCATTAATCAAATGAACGGAGGAAGGTCTCTGAGTCCTGAGCCTGTATTCAGCTGAAATCTATAAGCTTATATTTGTTTGCATTTACTACTGAATTAACAGGATAAATGCTGCTGTTTTTAAGGAGCTCCCATCAACCCTCTGAGGTCAAAGCCCTCGAGAGCGCCGTCTCAAACAACATCTCTGACGTACTTTTCCTGACAAGCATAGATGAGCAGCACTGAAGAATTCATAGAGAAAGAACAGAACGCTCTCTACTCTGGTTTAATTTGGGTTTATGGGAATTGTGCCACTTTGTATCTAGTAGCCATTGAGGCTGTGAGCAGTCATGTGACACAAATACCTCACTGACTGGCTTTCTTGTTTCCTTTTAAGGAGGCTGACAATGCAGTGCAGAACCCAAATAAGGGCAAAATTTGAAAAAAATAATTTAATATTTTCAGACATGGTTTTGTGAACTGAAGTCCTGACTGTATGTCGGGGAATGTTCGTGTGTTTGAGGTCATCAAAACCAGGAGACACATTTAACTCCTTCCCGAGGAAGATAAAAGTTTTACCAATCGATACCTTCATCAAGGATGCAGTAAACTGATCAACAGTGACAGTTAAGACATTTATAATGTTACAACAGATTTCTATTTCAAATAAATGCTGTTTTTCTGATCTTTCTATTCATCAGAGCATCCTGAAAAATAAAATGTGTCACGGTTTCCACTTTCCACAAAAATGTGAAGCAGCACAACTGGTTTCAACATTGATAATGATCAGAAATTTCTTGAGCAGCAAATCAGCATATTAGAATGATTTCTGAAGATCATGTGACACTGAAGACTGGAGCAATGATGATGGAAATTCAGCTTTGATAACAGGAATAAATTCAATTGATCATATATTCATAATATAAGACCGCTATTTTAAATTGTAGTAATAATTCACTTTTTACTGTATTATTGCTCAAATAAATGCAGCCTTGATAATCAAAAGATAAAAAATGATAAAAAAATCTTACTGACCCCAAACTTTTAAACAGTAGTTTATAATATATTTTAAAATTTAAAATTAAACTTGTTTTTATATTCATAATGTTAGTTGTTTTGCTCTTGAAGACACTCCCTTAAAGTAAAAATTGAATATAAATATTAACCAATTAAATTAGAATAATGCCATATAGTGTTTCTTTGATTTAGTAAACATTTTATTCGTTTTATTTTTTCTTTTTCAGATAATTAAAGTAAAAAGTAATTTATAAAATAAAGTGCAAAGAACAAAAATGACAGGATAAGAGAATAATGCAGTAAACATTATTGAAATAAAAAAGTAAAAATATGCAATAAAACTATTACTGCCGTAGACTTGAGATTTCTAATAGACACTGAGCAGCAGGCCTGTAATTAAAATGAGCTGTACATTTTACTGAATTTACACTGTAAGACGTGATGTTTTGATATCTTGGTGCACATTTTTTTGGTTCCTCCAGTTCACCTTCACTGATGATCTCCATACGAGCATTGAGAGAGCAGAGGTCTGTCAGTCAGACAGCATGTGTGAAAGGATTGCTTGAATTGAGAGGCAAATTAAGCCGGAAACTGCAGAATCTACACTGCACTGTAATGTCTCTGTTAAGATCTCTTTCTGTTTCTGCATTCTTAGTGGGCGCTCGAATGTGATTGAGAAGCTGGAGGCGTTGGAGCTGGAGCATGCTGAGAGAATGGAGGTGGAGGAGAGATGCAGTGGAGTCCGGCAGGGCCGCAGTGAAATGAGACGATTCCAGCGGGAGGTAATGTATACTTACCCAAACCCCCAGTGTTCATATTCACAGACACATGATGGTTTTACAGCCGGCACTGTCATCATGCACTTCCTGGAGACGCCGTCTCCTCACTCACGCGAGCTCTCGATGTGAATGTGGCGCAAACTTGGAATCCCTAGAAACTCGGCATTTAAAGTTGTATAATCGTCTTAAAGGGCTAGTTCACCCAAAAATGATCATTCAGTCATCATTTACTCACTTGTGTTGTTCCAAACTTGTATGAGTTTCTTTCTTCTGTTGAACAATAATTAAGATATTTTGAAGAATATTGGTAACTAAACAGTTTTCAGTAGCCATTGACTTCCATATTATGGGAAAAAATATTCTTCTAAATATCAGAATCAGAATCAGAAGAGCTTTATTACCAAGTATGTTTTCCTGAAGACCCGGTTCACATCCTCTACACAGACCTTAAGCACAGGTTGAATGATGGGGGAGGGAGGGAGGGGGGTTGCAGGGGTGGTAGGTGAATGTGTGAAGTGCAGATCAGAGCAGATGGGGGGGGGTAGACTATCCTTTTCAAATCTGCAGTAAAACACATTCAGATCGTCAGCCAGTTGTTGATTCTCCGCAATCATCTTGTGTTTCGGAGAAGAAAGACGCTTATACAGGTTTGGAATGACATGAGGGTGAGTAAATGATGACAGAATTTTTGTGAACTATCCCTTTAAAGCAAAACAGAAAAGATGACCTAATGATTTTTTTTTTTTTTTAGAAAACGTTCAGCTGTTTTTTGGCTCTTGCACGCATGACCTTTTGTTTTAGTTAATTTCCAGTTTCCATTATGTGCTCAGATTCCCCTGACAGTTTCTTAACTTTCTCAGTCTTGTGCCTTGGGCCGAATAAATTTCTTTAACAAAAAATGTATAGTTGCCATGTCTCTTTTTTGTCATGGTTTATAGAGCTGCTGCATCTTGTCGGGTCTGTGTTTTGTTTGTTTTTTTAAAATAATTTTTCGTTTCCCTTCAATTTTTTTTGTATTTCATTTAGGGCTGGGAGATATGGCCCCCCCAAAAAAATTTTCCCCCAGAAAATTAGACAGATTCAAGGTTCCGTATGTAATTAATTTTTTTTGTTCTGTACTAAAGCATAAAATTACCATAATATGTTTGCACATATTTAGGAGACATGCTTAGTTCACCTACTTGTTTCTCTGAAAAACAATGCTACTGCCAGTTATTGTACATTTAAATGTGCGTTCCTTGTTGGAATGTCTGTTTTTGTTTTGGTCTATGTGACTCCGCCCACTGCCATTTTACTGAATATGTATACAGTCATGGAAGCGAGTAAACAAACTGGTTTAGAGATAGCAGATTCTACCCAACCTGAAAAAAAAACTCTGCATCCATCTAAAAATCTCTATGACCAGAGGCATATTAAACCACAAATAAATCAACTCATCAGCTTACAGAGTAAGGCTCGTTGCCTTTAAGTGTCAACTGAGCTTGTTTCTATTGCTTGTCCTCAATCTGGCAACCCGCATGTTTTGAATACCCCCAGTATTTTGAATTTGGACTGCAGTACCCATTTCAACCACTAGCTGTCAATATTACATACTACACCAGGGTTCCCCAAATCTTACCCTGGAGTGCCAATGCGCTGCAGAGTTTAGCTCCAACCCTGATCAAACTTGCTTACCTGTGATTTTCTAATGATCCTGAAGACATTGATTAGCATGCTCAGGTGTGTTTGATTAGGGTTAGAGCTAAACTCTGAAGGAAAGTGGATCTCATGGGCCAGATTTGAGGATCCCTGTACTACACCATTAAATAGTCAACTTAAAGGGATAGTTCACCCAAAAATGAAAATTCTATCATTAATTACTCACCCTCATGTCGTTCCAAACCCATAAGACCTCATCTTCAGAACACAAATTAAGATATTTTTGATGCATCCCGTGAGTTCTTTGACCCTCCCATAGACAGCAAGTGTCCTTACACGATCAAGGTCCAGAAACGTAGCAAGGACATCGGTAAAATAATCCATGTGACATCAGGGGTTCAACTGTAATTTTACGAAGCTATGAGAATACTTTTTGTGCGCAAAATTCCATCAAAAATATTTTAATTTGTGTTCTGAATATGAACGGAGGTCTTATGGGTTTGGAACGACATGAGGGTGAGTAATTGATGACAGATTTTTCATTTTTGGGTGAAC